TATTAATTTTAAGATTCACTGACCACAAAGTGAGGAGGTGATAGGTTGCCTCCCCTGCTCCTTTTCTGGCTTAAAATCTCATCTCTCTTCTGTTTTCTGACTTGTGCAATCTGAAAAACATAATTTTTTGAGAAAAACTCTCAAGATTTTTTTTAATACAGTTCCTTTCTAAAGTCATGGATCCATCAATTCATACCCGGATTTAAAGCCATATATGGCGTAACTGATCAAAAAGCTTTTCATACAATTCTGAACACGAAGAACACCTCGTTTCATCTAATAATACGATTTTATATTCTCTGTAATGTGCTATTTAAAATCTTTTGTATTTTCTTCCGAGTCGGAGAATATTCCGAGAATCCAAATTAAATTGTGATATCTTTAATTAATATATTCGATCAATGCATACTATCTCTGCAAGATATATTATTGTTTTCAGCGGCAGCTCACACAAATTGGTCCGACCAAAATAGTTCCATCATGATTAAGTAGATACAACATTATTGTTCATGATAAGAGTGAAGTTGTGTATTTCATACGTTAAAGAAATCAAAAATAACGTCAAAATATTATTAGAAAATCACTTTCCCCCCGAAATGCAGAGTTATGTCCAAGACACGATGTAGTTACGATATCGACACATTACTTTTTTTATAGTTTACTATAATAGTTCTACATTCTCATGTGTATATTACAATACTTTTTGTTTTAAGACTATTTCCTAACTGTTAATATCCTCGATATCGTGCTGATATCGAATCATGGTTGCTCTAGGAATTGTGATTTCCATCCTTAATATTGTGTTTTTAACAACTGTTACTTAAAACTTTCTTTATAAAACTGTCCCTGTAGTGTCAATATCTCTTCATATCGAATCATGTTTGCTCAGCCCGTTGTAAATACCTTCCCTGCTACTTTGAATGTGTTTATGTTTAATTACTTTACTTTTACGAAGATTTTACCTGCCATCGATATCGTCGATATCGACGATATCGTATCGATATCGATTCATGATTGTTAAGAGCATATTACTTTACCAATCTTCATCCTAATATAAAAACTTTATTTTTACATCACTTCTGTGTTTAAAAAGTTTACCTTACTGTCGATATCGTCGATATCGACGATATCGTGTCGATATCGAATCATGATTGTTAAAATATTTTGAAGAATTTTCACACTAATCCAATATCTTACTTTTAATCTAATCTAAAACAATAACAACCCTAAAATTTTCTTTATCATATTAATTTATTTTTATATCCAATAAGGAATCAATTTGGACTTCACTTATGACTTTCTAAAATTATGTTATACCTCAATGTGAAAATAAATTGTGCAAATAGGATCGATATCGATACGATATCGTCATGATATTGTCGATATCGACGACATCGACATAATATAGAGTCTCAAATACAGAACCAGGTATTTCCAATTAATAGTGCTGATTACGATCGATATCGATAAGATATCAACATAATATTGTCGATATCGTCGATATCGACATCATATTTGTTCTTGGACATGTATGGAAATGCAAATAAAAAATATCAATATTCCTACGCTCGCTCCCTCCTCAGCCTTTTTTTTTTTTTTACATGTTTGATAATAGAGAATATTTAGGTCATTCTTCAATTCATATTTTTTCACTGATGAATTGATAATACTATATCAACAATTGTATTAAGTACATGTTTATAGTCTGTTAATTATCATACAATTTCCTTTTAAGAAAAAATAAATCATTCTGTGTGTGTATATTATTAAATGACGGAATTTTCAATCCCTGGCTGGATTCTGCTCACGTGTGTACACTTTGTAAACTTTAGGGGATAAAATGTGTGGCAAAACGAGAACTGGGTCGGACATTCGGGTTCGTGTTGGAGTTCAGCATAGGCTTACCATTTTATATAGAACTTGAATAATGTAAGTAATATCTGCGACGAATACATTAGCATATTTCAGTAATTTTCAAAACAAAAAAGGTTTTCAGTTCAGAATTTTCCGATCCGGTCTTGATTTTCCTAACACGGCCATTTTAAACACAAGTTGTTGCAGATGCAAATGTTAGAACAAACTATATATAGTTCAACAGGGATTGTATAATTTTTATTAATCAGAATTCGTATTCATATGATCTAATTAAGAAAAGAAAAGTTTTGTCTGCCATCGTAACTTCTCGGCAAAACAAAACGTGTTCCTCCGAGCTCGCTGGATGCGTTTAACAGCTCCATCGCACGTGTGTAGATCAAGGCTAATGTTGGTCTTGCGGACACAGGTTCATGTAGGCCTATGTGTACCGTTTGTTAGGAGACTGGGTGACCTCACCATGCTCACGAAATTTACACCAGTTCCATAACTAGGCCCTAGACATTGCAGTTTTTTATTAACGTCATTATAAACACTGATAAGCATATTAAATCTAAAAGTCGAATATCTTTGGATATGGGGTAACCCATATCTATTCTTGTTTATAACGCAATTGACTTAGATTTTGTAATTTACAGAAAAGTTCTATCTTTATATAAAGTAATGATACAAATAATAAGTTCTTATAATTAGAGTATAATAATTTTCATTGTACATACGCCATATATGGCTTTAAAAATTCAGAGTGATCACAAATTCTGTTATGAAAGTTGATAAAATGGTAATGAACATATGAAATCTAAAAAATTCAATTAATTTAAGAATAAATCTTACGTGATGTTTTCTGTCCTGCTTTCTCTGCTGAGCTTTATTTTTCTTTGTAGATGTCTTCACATTGACTCTCCCTTAAAAAATGTTAAAGAAATAAAATTTTTGTAAGGTTTTCTTTACTTTTTAAAGGAAATTCGAACTGCCTCTTGTACGATTTGATCACACGCTATTCTAATTACCTTTCGTTTCTTTGTCGAGTTGACCTTTACTCTTGTGTTTTCCGTGTTTGTGTGTTTTATTTTGTTGCTTAAGAGCACCAGGACGATGGGCTTGTTGTACATCTGCAGCCATTCTGTCAAAATTTCCAACACGTGTTTGCAAACCGGAAGTTTTGATTTTCTGCGTGCGTAAGCGGCCTTACA